AGTTTACCATAGGACACTCCCTTGTTTCTAGCACTTTTATAAAGATCTTCATATCTAACCTCCTTTGAAAAAAGATATATCTTCATCCTTGTTTTAAAGAGGCAATGTGCTCTAATGGCCTGGGGACCGACAGTCCTGAAGTGGCTGGTTCTGCCACTTCCTATGGCTATGATTTTAAGCAAATTAGCAGATGGGGGACTCAGTTTCTTCATCTCTGAAATGGGAATATATATTGTCTATCACGCAGGACTGCCACAGCCTTGCCTGTAGCCAATGTTCAATAAAGAGAGGTAAATGTATTGAACTGAGACTGGCAGAGAAGAGAAAGCTGTGACACTTCTGCAGAGTAGACAATGGCAAGGCCACAATAAACAATGACCTGACTGGGTTTGCTTTGAGTATCAGAGATTCTGTCACTCTATTGAGCTATGAATTTCCGAGCATTTCAGCCTGGCTTTCAAGAAACATTCCGCCACACTGAGAGTTTGCCAACTCCCTTACAAACATAAGACCTGGGGGTGGGTGGGAGCGGGGGGGATGTGCCAAGGCCGGGTGGAGCAGGCCCAGGAGCACTGTTTGAAGACAAGGTTCTAGTCCCAATCTCCTAACCTGAGTGACCCTAGAAGCTGTCACCATTATTTCCTGTCTGTCTAGGAACCGAATATCTTTTGGTTACAGTACCAAACTCTTCCTTGGAGCACAGGCCCCTCATCCACCTCAAGTAAGTGGTTCTAGTGGAGCTGTCAATCACAAATAGGTCCACTCAGCTCCCTCAGAGGGAGCATGTGACCAAGGTCTGTCCAATCCTATTGACAGTGATTGGCCAAGGTATGTGACCCAACCCTACACTGGGATTTCATGTGTGAGCCCTGAAAACAAAAACTTTTCTCTTTTCTTTGGGAATATATGGCTGTTTGTGATCATCCTCTCCAAAAAAGTCCATGTGTAGTAAGCAAAGCGAAGACCAATACCCCAAGAGTGACCAAGCTGAGAAGGAATATCCCTGATTTCCACTGTACCTGAAGCCAACCCATCCCAGTGCCTCTCAGTCAAATGAGCCAGTCAATTCCCCTTTCTACTCGAGCTAGTTTTAACTGAGTTTCTATCACTTGTAACTAAAATGTTCTTGACTAATACACTAGGCCTTGTCCTCGTCATCTGAAAATTAAAATGTTGAGGCTACAAGATCCAAAGTCCCTTCCAAAGCCCAAGAGTCTAAAAATTTCTTCCCAGATAGCCTAGGCAAGAGTAAAAACCAGGCGGTGGAGAAAGAGACAAGATGGGCACAGCTCTGAAATTTGGTTGATATTTAATTAAAACCTTAGTTCTGACACCTAATATAATGCCTTGCACACAGTAAGTCTTGCTAAGTATTTCTTAGTTAACCAATAGGCAATGGCAGAAGGTGTGCTCCCAAAACGTTCACATTTCTAAGGTAAGTTTCCTCTCTGATTCTGTTCTCTCTCTCTCTCTCTTCTCTCTCTCTCGCTCTCTCTCTCTCTCTCCCCCCCCCCCAGCTAACTGGAGGAGCTGTAGCAAATATTTTCGCAAGGAACAGTGGAAATTTTGAGCACAACACTGGCCCAACCAGATGGAGACCAGATGTGCAGTGAGCACCTGGCAGAGGAGCTGTCTCGGAGCAAGACCTCCCCAGGGTCCCACCTCTCTCAGAGTCCCGCCTTCTCATTCCCTCCATTCTATTCTGATTTGATTTATAACATTCTCACCATAACTGTCCTAACCAAGACCATCATCTTGGCTTCTCCCCATAAATATATCTATAGCACCCATGGGTCTGGTGAGAGCACCACCCCTTACCTGGGAGGGTAGGGGAGTCCTGAAGGGCGACCCAGGGTCTCTGTCTCCTTAGATGAGCATGGTAACCAAAAGACACAATCTGTAGTTGATACTGATGTCAAATCATGAAAGGGCTGAAGTGCTGGGTAGGTAGAAGAGACATGTCATCCAAGTGTCACCAGCCCTTCCTGAGCCCCTCTGCAGCCAAAAACCTCAGCCAAAGAAAACCCCAAATGCTACTCCTAATGCCTTGAGGAATAATGCAGGTTTGCAGTGAATGTTTTTAGGGAAGACGAAAAGAGGGTTACAATATAATTCACACAAAAAGACTTTCTTTAAAATTATTTTGAAGCTCTTTTCCCGAAATACTCTTTTCCTTAAGCCACTGACCACTCCTGTCCTCCCTTGTGCCCTGTCCCCAGCTCTTTCCTTAGTCCTCATGTGTCTCCCTCTCCACCTCTCATCTAGAGCCATGTGGTTCCTTCTCCTCTTCTTGCCCTTTCCAATCCATCTCTCCCACCTCTTCTCCTCACCCCACCTCTAAAATGACAAATGCCTAAGAATGGGTGAACTAACACATGATCCTTTTTCTTTACAAGCTAAAGAGGAATGGAATTCCAAATGCTTATGATGGTTTTCTTTGCCATATACATAAATATGGAAAGTCTGCAAGCACAGGGATTCTAAAATGTACTTTCTCAGTAAAGGAGAAAACAAAGTGTTCACAAAAAGCCGGAGAACATCAAGCATAGCTCAGTCTAGCAGCCCTAGGTATCACATTTCATTATAGAAAATGTATCAGCTGGATAATGCCTCAAATGTCTTCATGCTGGCATTCTGAGTCTTTCTTGCTCTTCAGTTGAAATTACCATAATGATGGTTACAAAGCATGTCCTGGCTGGGTGTCAGTGTTCCCACTTGGTTGAGTTCCCCTCCACCCCCACGTCATGGCGATTATGCTCCAAAATGGATAGAGATAGATTTGGCCACAGAGGCAATCTGGCAGTTGACCAAGGCCCCAAACCACCTCACTGTGGTATATCTTGATGTCAATTTGTCTAACTTTACCAATAAGCCCCAGCGGCCAGAAGAAGTCAAAGTAAGGACAAGAGACCAAGATAAACACCATAATGACCTAACCATCTAACAGATACTATTCCCTCCAATAATTCTAACTCCTTGGGTAAATCTTATGAGCTAATTAAGAATCTAAGGTCTGATACAAAGCTGACGTCAACAATGCATTAGATTCTGTCACCTATCTGGTTGCAATTAGCCAACAAATGTTACCATTGCAAGTATAAGACAAACAAAGGGTCACTTAAACCAAATATGTATCTAAGAGGTTCCTTCTCAGCAGCAAATTCTACACACCAGAATTCACAAAACATTTTTCAAGGGGAAAGGGCTAAAGAGGTCTCATGGCCACAGGCAGGGTGATCAATTGTCCCAGTTTGCCTAGAACTAAAGAGTTTCCCAAGACATGAGATTTTCAGTGCTAAAACCTGAACTGTCCCAGGCAAACTTGGGTGGTTGGTCACCTAGATGTACCCCAAGCCTTGGCTAGTGAACACTACTGAATCAGAAGGAAGGATAGGGTGGAAAGGGAAAGGAAATAAATGCCTTCAAAAAGACCAACTTGCTCACAAGAGATCTAATTTCTACATTGTTCAAAGTTAACTATTAATGTCAGCTATTCTAAAGTTCATACAAACTATTTTTGTCGACAAAAGGTTTATGGTCAATGACTTGACTGTGCACATCAACATATCAAAGATTCTGGGAAGTGCTGCAGCACATTTAATTGGGTGCTCCAAGTGTGTCCCTAGTTTATTTGACCACACAAGTCTTTTTTCACTTAATGGTTATGATCATCTCCCTGAAAACACTTTGAGAAATAGGGATCTTTTCCACAAAGCCATAGACAACTTAGGAGTTACATGACATATTCAGTAAGACATGCCATCTACTTAAGAGGTCAACACCTTTCTCCTTGTACTCAATGAAAAGCATATTGTACCCTTGGCTAAAATAGAGTTATGATCTACATTTTTTTAATAAGACACAGGGCAGGTCACTGAGATCTATGTAGAATATTAAAGAAGAACTGAACCAGTAAAAACAGTGTGAAAAGACTAAAGACTTGAACTTGAAACACAATCTGAAGTGGATTTTGTGTCTGATGGATGTAAGGAAATTCATTCATTCATTCATTCATTCATTCATTCATTAAACAAATTAAGCATGTATGTCCAGGTATTATACTGGAACCAGGGAAACAGCAGAGAGTGAGGTCTCTACACATCTGATGCTTGGGAATTTCAAGCCTGAATTTCAGTATGTGCTAACTAACAATATTAACACTGAGAAGAAAGTTTAGGGGTCCATAGGAGGGACTTATAACTCACATTCAGAGGCTGTGGTCACAGTGGCTTCCCACAGGAGGAGTTATCAAGATTTAGACTCAGAGGGTGAGGTGGTGGGCCAGCGGCAGTGTGTGTAGGAGTGCGGAGCAAGGCAGTGGAGGGCAGTGATCTGGACAGAAGGTATGAAGGGGCTGGTGGTGAAACAGAGCTCAGAGCATTCTTTATACCTGCAAAGGTCTTATTCCTGAGGTCAGATATAATATTCATTTTAGTACACAGTATGGCCTCCATATATTTTATTAATATTATTATCATTACTATGTTAAGGGAGAAAACATTGCATCAAAAGGAGGCTAGATCTGACCCTTCCTGTACCTCTAAATGTCTATGACTTTGTAATTGGGAGGACTTTATGATTACCTTTAAAATCTCTTTAAAGCTTATAGACTTCTCCTTCTGGAAAACAAAGCTCCCCATGAAATCATAAATCTACGTATTAACAGACTGTATATTTCTGATTTAATTTTTCCTTCATTGTGCACTGGTTCCCTCCATGTTCCAAGAAAACAGCCACAATGCATCCCATCAACCTTGACACCTCTGGGCTTCTTCAAAGATGCTTCCAGTAGCCCAAGACCTTCAGGACAAGTGAATATCAGCAGATGCCTATTGGGCAACTTATATTTGTTCATTAAACCACAACCGCTAATGCAAATATGACTACCCCAAGTACTAAAGCACAGAAACCATCTCGGTGGAACTTTGATTAGTGAAGTCAACCCCAACAGTGTCCCCTCTGGAGCTCCTAGATAAGCCATACCCAGGGAAAACACTTACCCCTCTGAAATTCCAGGCTTTAGGAGAGGGAAACATGGCAAAGTTGTTTTGTCGCTGCCGTTTAGGCCTAAAAGAGAAAAGAAAAGACAATGCATTTGTTAATTCACCTGTTAGAAATCCAGAGGAAATCACCGGCTTCAGATGCAGCTTTACCAAAAACAGAGATACTTGGAGAAATGGCCCAGGCACAGGAGCCACTGGGGTCTTCTACAGCTCTGCAATCTTGAGCATCCAAATTTACTCCAAAATCCCTCCCAACCCCCAAGAGGAAAGTTCTGGAATCCCTTACTCTTAAAAAATAAATTTGGAAATTCAAACTGATGTGATCAAAAAGCCAGATCAAACTCCCAATGTTGATCTTTATTTCTTACACACAAACAAGTCCCCATTGGACAGCATCGTGATGTTTATAGCTTCAGCTTAGCCTGGAACACTCCCCTGTTGCCCACACTCTGGGGAATCGCAGCACCTCACCTCCACACAGGCCACACTTGAGCTCCAGACTTTCTTTCAGATTTTATTTATTTATTTATTTATTTATTTATTTATTTATTTATTTATTTGAGCTAGGGAAAGAGAGGGAGAAAGAGTGGGAGGGAAACATCCATGTGCAAGAGAAACATCAATCGGCTGCCTCCTGCACGCCCCCAACTGAAGACCCGGCCCTCAACCCAGGCTTGTGCCCTGACCTGGAATTTAACTGTCAACCCTTCGGTTTGCGGGACAATGCCCAACGCACTGAGCCACACCAGTCAGGGTGAGCTTCGGACTTAAAGGAACCATGAACAGGACATGTAGCCATAGCCTAATGAGTCAGAACTGGTTTCCTCACCTATTAATCTCTCCACATGAATCAGCCCTCTCAGATGTAAAGGAGGCAGTGTCAGGTTGGGGCAGCTCAAGGGGCAGGTAAACCAGGGAAAGAAAGTATGGCAATGTGGCCAGGAGGCTCCAGGCACACCAGGGACACCTTATATCTGTCTTGTGAAACACATCCCATCTTGTGGCTGCCAACATACCTACAGGGACACCTTTTACAACATCTTTATAGAGTGATAAATTACTCCTCCCAAAAATGTTATGTCTGTCAATATGGACATTTAAATTTCATGTTGGTTTGTAGTACCATCTCACTGTAGAGCATCCCTGACAAAGGTTCCCCTTGGACTTCCCCTGAGGTTTTAGTTACTACTGTCCCAAAAGGGTGCTGGTGGTGGTTTTTTACATGATAGTCACACCCTTCCATTGTCCTTTCTGACAGTTAACAGTGACACAAGGCAGGATGCTTGCAGTGACCATTTTACAGCTTTGCAGAGGGTCAGGCCTGAGTAAAAATATTGATTAGCCCTGTCCAGTACAGCTCAGTGTGTTGGAATGTTGCCTGGTAAACTGAAAGGTTGAGGGTTTGATTCCCAGTCAGGGCACATTCCTGGGTTGAGGGTCCAGTTCCTAGTCAGGGTAGATACTGGAGGCAACTGATCCGTGTTTCTCTCACATTGAAGTTTCTCTCTCTCCCTCCCCCCTGACCTTCACCCACCTCCTTCCCTTCTCTCTGGAATCAATAAATATGTCCTCGGGTGAGGATTTAAAAAAAATCTTGATCCAACTCTACCATACAAAAGAGATAAAATACAAGGTAATTTCTATAATAGCAGCAGATAATGGGTACTGAGTACTAAAAACTGCATATGCTAATACTTCATGAAGTTAATCTCACTGCTAGGGTTAATTATTGTACCCATTTAGTAGATAAGAAAACAAAGACCTAAGAATAAGTGACTTAACTATCATTACATAGGCAAGATTGCCCATAGTGTTTTATTAGCTGTGTGACCCTGAGCACAAGGATTAATCTCTTGAGCTTTCACATTCCAATGTGCAGAACAGGAGAAATAGTATCCAGCACATGGAATTAAGATGAGATGAGGCTCTAACTCCAGTTCTATCACTGCTAAGTTCTCGAGAGATGTCAGCATGGTGCCACCCACCCCCCAAATCCTGGCTCCAGAACAGCCTTCAACCAGGGTCACAGAATTGACACAGAAAAGCTGGGACAGCTCACCAAATAGATGGGAATCCCCACTTACGTGTCTTTCTATCCAGCCCCCTTCTCTGCCTCACCCTCCTCCTCACCCACACGTTCAGCAATAAAACCCCAGGCTAATCACATCTCAAGACAAACAGAGAACATGTGGGCGGTTATTTAGATTTAATATTTAGATCCTTCTCTATTAAGTAACATGTTGGTCTAAGTTCTTCTGAAAAAATATTTCTTCCAAAAAAAACAAACAAATAAAACACAAAACAACTTAGAATTCAATACTTCTCCCTGGATTCCATTCCCTCCCCTCCCTGGTTATAATTGGGATTTGCTTTCCTAATCATTTGATGAGCTTCACTGCTTCCAAAGCAACAACATATACCAGAACACTCTGAGTAAAGGCTTAGTTCACAGAAAATGATGATCATAGTTAATTAGCTATGATTAAGTTACATGATATGCCAGGGCCTGTGCTAAGCACTTTGCCTACATAAAGTAAGTTTCACAATAACAATAAGATAGATTATTATATTAGGTTATATTATAATTTTAATACATGATATGCAAGTAGTATTATAATGGTGCTATACATTATAATACTGTATTTTATATATAACACCTTATAATGGCATTACATACTTTAAAAAATAATGTATTACAACTCTGTATCATAATATATTTTCATATGATATTATGGTATAATGGAGATATCATTATCCCATTTTACAGATGAGATAAACTGAGACACAGAGAGGTTATACCACATACTATAAGTCACACAGCTGGTAGGCCACATTGAAATTCATACCCAGATGTGTCTGATTCCAGATTCAGAGGGTGTAGCCCCTCTTGAAAGAAAGAAACCCCGCCAAACAGGGCAGAGCACGCTTTTAGAAGAATGCAGCCTTGGGACTCCTTGTGGGAGCGCATCAGTTTGGCAGGGCCTCCCATTCTGAAGCCCCTTTGGCAAAGAAAGAGCATCAGAGCAAGGCTGTCAACCCAGGGCACTCTCGGGGGAAACTCAGACACACCCTTCTGGGGTGGGGAAACTGCCAGGAAACCCAGGAGAGAGGGCCGCCCCAACCGTTAGCTCCCCCGACCCTTGCACTCCACCACCGGGGTTCCAGATCACTCGCATTTAACAACCTAATCAAGTATCTTAAGAGTCTCCTGATAGTTTCCTGCTTCTCCCCAGCCAAACACTGCCACACAGGTGGCTTTGAAGGATGGCTTCAGGGAATAAAACCCACTCTCCAGGGGAGGCTTCTTTATGACACCTGTGAGGGATGCTGATGGCATAAACTGCTCCATCTCAGAGGCCCATCAAGGCCAGGTCCTCACCACAAGAGGGCAATCAGTCCTGGGTATATTTTTTCTGTTTTAGAAGCAACTTCCTGGCACTGTCAGCAAAAGTCCCAGTAAGAAAATGGCACTTGTGTCTATAGGTTTCTCCAACACAAAGATATGCAGAGAGGCCCCTTAACAGGGCCAGGAGGAGTTACTGATAGTGTGTCCAGCCCTTGGACCACTAACGTGAACAAGGCCTGTGCCTGGTCCATACACACATGGCTAGGAAGCAGAGCAAATGTCAGAAAACAATGCTGCCCAATGATCACCCGCCTCGCAGAGGGGCTGATGGGAAGCCGGGGATGGGCATGCAGAGGGAGAAACAAGTGCTGAGACAGGATGGATAGCTTCTTGCCTGGAATGAGGTTACAACCCTAGGAAAGGTTGGAAAGAAAAGTTATAAACTCTCCACCCTTGGGAGAGCTTATAGTAGAAATGCCCACAGTAGGAGTGAAAAGTCGGAATTCAAGGTGCATTTAGGAAATGATTTCAAAGTCAGGCGTGTGGATGGCTGTCCTCAGAATGAGCTCAGAAGCAGTAGGCCTCAGAGTTGGCAACCGCCTGTATTTTCCAACCAGGTGAAAACAAGTGTGATTCTTTCTCACCATCTTGAGAAGAGGACTAGTGCCTATTTCCTGAACAGCTCCGAAGAGTGGGGTTTCACGGTGCACTGCGTGCAGCCAAGAAGCTGACTTGGGGCTCTAAGATTGGCTCCCTCCCTTTCTTGCTGGAGACTTTAACCAAGCTACCTACTCTCTACTCCCTCTGAGCCTCCATTTTCTCACCTATAAAGTGGGGATAACAATCTCTCTTCACAAAACAGAGGCATTAAATTAATGTACTATATAAAATCTTTAGCAAACAGCTTGGCACTTAATAGGTGCTCAAATGAGCTATTATCATCACCATCATCACTGGGAAGATTCCTCCTTTAACCCAGAAAGGGGAAACATTACTTATCATTATTGCTAAGAAGGCTTATGTTGGAGAGACAATGAAATTTACACTGATTCTTACATATTGGATAAAATATAGGTAAAATAAAACAAGGGCTTCAATGAATATTTATATTAGGTGACAACACGGCCACAAATATCAACACAATGTAACCGTAAAAAAAAGACTCAAATTTCCTGCTGCCTTTTTGCCTTTCCTAAATATTACCAACTTTGCCAACATGTTGTTTATGTTTTAAATATTTTAATGTCGTAATTCTAAATCAGAGCATCTTGCTAATAAAATTTCCCTTTTCTTTCTATTGCTCTACCTGTCTTTATCCATGAAGAAAATTGTAGCATTACTAGAAAAACTAAACAGCTATACTTTGTAAGAGAAATTAGTGCTAAGTGTAGGACCACCTGTGCCAGATATTTTTCTCCTGTTTGGACCCCTTAATATGGTAGTGGTTTTCTTTCATTTAAATGTCTTTTTAGTTTCTGTTCTTAGTCCATAATCAAGGATGGACTGGCAGGTGTTTAGCCAGGTGAGGACCCAATTCTTTGAGGAGAAACTCACTGTAAGTGGTAGTTTGCAGAACGGAACACTCGCATTTTGGCTTCTCTCTTAAACAAAACCACAGAGGCACCATCCAGCAACATGTTTTTGTAGCTCACCGAGCCACACTTGGTGACTTCCTCCTACTCAGGTCATGGCTGCAACTTCAACTCCCTATTTCCTGT